AGGAGTCATTTAATTAACATTTTTTATATAATGACTAACACAAAACTACACTTGTCTCAGAGCAAACGTCCCGTTTTAGACTGTTCCCACTGTTGTCTTGGAGACCGTGCTCGGAATGTTAATGATCCTCTGCAGCGCTGCCATGGCAACCGCAGAGCTCCATCGTTTCCAGCTCACACGTCAAATTGTGCAAGCAGAGCGGAGCCTGAACACTGGAGGTCTGTTTCCAGGACTTTGTGTTTGGAGAGGGATGTGCTGTGTCATTTTCACAAATATAAAAAATACTGAAGAGGTTCAACCCTCCTGCTGCTTGCGCTTCTGCATCTTCTGCACGTGCTCACACTCAAGGTTGATAGAGAGTGCATGGAGCGGTCTGAAAACAGGAAGTTACATCATGAATGGCAGGGAGGTTGCCCTCTTCTGGACTTGAATGGGTAGTAAGTGTGTGAATGTGCATGTGGGGCCTACAGACTCCCTCTCACACCCTCTCCAGCCATGAACGGCGGACACACACACACACATGCACTGAAGCTCAGTTTGTGTAACGTAGTTACGCAGCAAGGACAAAAGAGGGGAGTCTCCTGCTCTGGAGGAAAACCTGGGAGAAGCCACCTCTCTGATTTCAGGAGTCTGGAGGAGATGACACAGACTGACAGTCTCTCCCTCTCTCTGCACTGCCTGGTAGGACCCACAGACCCATCATGTCATACTGATGCTGTTTTATTCCTCTGTTGTTTGAAATGAATGCACATTTTCTGCTGCACGTGTTTGTCCTTGTGGGCTCAAATAAGGTCTGTTACTTTTTCAAAACTAATTTGAGGCCAAGACATTTAAATTGTGTCTGCGGTGTTTTGATTTATACAATTCTGTGTAACTCAGCGGCAGAACCCTTTCATCTGTTTTCCAGGATTCCCACATGCCCATCATCGCTCCAGAGCTCATTTGAACAGATCCAGTCTCCGAGGTGTTCCAGTGCGTTCCACTGTAAGGTGACACCGCTGCAGGAACACTTTGTAATCTCTCTGTCATCAGCTGTTGTCTAAGGCTCTTAGCTGCTTGTATTCACACCTGCCACACACACACATGCACGCACACACACACACACACACACACACACACATGACTAAGCCTTTTACAGTTTAAACTTAGCAGCTTAATAAAAGTGCATTTAAGATTTAAATAGTAACTCAACACCATCAGTTCTCTGGATGAAAGCAACAAAATTAAGTTGCAATAAACTGTGATTCAACTTTGTCTTAATAGCTTGACTCTATTAACACTGTTGTCTTTTCTCCCTTAAACTTAGAGTTGCATTGCTGTTTTGTGCAGAAAGGCACCATGGGAAACATAGTTCAGTGCTGTCACACACTGTCACACTACTTTAAGTGTAAGGACACACCAGACCAGGGTGAGGCAGAAAGATCCCCCCTGCTATCCAGTGAAGACAGTGACTGTTGCTCTCCGAGCCTCCCGGACGACCTGGAGGACGATCTGTTGACCGTCTCCACCAGCATAACGAACCCATCCCTTGAACCAGAGCACTTCCTGTTCCCTGACATCATCCTGAGCAGCAGCCTGGGAGGGGACGTCACCCTGGTTGAGCCCATGGTGTGTCTGCTGGTGTCCGAGGAGGAAGATGGACGAGGGGAGGGAGTGAGCAGGGTGTTTGACCCAGGACAAGAGAGGCACATCATGAGGAGAAACCGGGGCTTCTCTGAGGTGGAGACGCAGACGGAAATGGAGACACAGATCGGTACGGGGGTGCAGACTCAGACCGAGACTCAGGCAGAAGTTCAGACACAGACAGAGATGTTTGTGTGTCTGAGGTCTGAGGATGTTGAGGAAAAACATAAAATACTGCAGAAGGTGGAAACATCACGAGAGAAACACTCAGAAACTCTTAATAATTTACCATCAGAGAAGGAGAATGAACAGTTGCTGGGATCTGAAACCTGGTCTGATGGAGAAATGTTTACTGAGTTGGAGGAGTCAGGGAAGGTGGAAGAACATTCAGAAAGAAACAAAATGTCCTTCACAGATTTACACAAGGAAGCAGAGGAAGAAGAAGTCAAAAAGAATCACAGCCGTATATTTCAAACAAAACGAAACACTGAGCCACAGGAGGAGAACTCTGAAGAAGCAGATGTCTTTAAGGTGCAGAAGAAGGATATTGTTGGTGAAGAACATGCAGAGTTTTCCTGGACAGAGGCGGATGTAGATGACAAAGGAGTAAGTGTTCAATCAGAGTGCACTTCAGTGACTGACCATGATCCTAACAACACAGATGAGAAGGAATCACAAAGGAAGCCGACCTTTGACCCTGCAGGGTGTCATGTAGCCCCCACGCAGCAGAGCGGGCAAGAGGATGAGCAGATGAGTGAGCGGTCGCATCAGAGCGTAAACGAAAAGGACATTAACGTGAAAACTGAGAAAAATCTGTTTGAGGACGATACAAATCAGTCGATAGATGCTCGCATTCTTAATGCAGAACATGTTGAATGTCAGGAAAACCCACAAGAGAGGGAAGAGGATGATGCCATGAGTTCAGGTCCGCAGGATGTTGTGGAGACAGATCTGACTCAGGAGGAGGAGGAAGGAGCTGAGATGAAGAAGTTGACCTTGTTTTTAGTTGACAGGTTGTTTCTGGCAGCATCACATGTCAAAGGTGGGTCGTTTTATTAAACTGAATTATTCAAACATGCTCCTGCAGCTACTAGTGGAAGCTTGTACAGTGGATAGTATTTTATATTTCACTTTTATTGTTTTTCTATTCCATGCAAGTTTATTTAATATTTACTTATATTCTACAGTTTTTCTTATTTTTAATTTAAATTTCTGTGTAAACAATTATCCTCCATATGACAGTTTTTATCCTCACACTCTATCTATTTGTGTCTCTTGTGCACTGTTCTCAGCAGCACCTCAAAATGCAGAAAGCCCCGAGGAAGATGGTGTGGAACAATGTGATCCTGATAAGAAGGAACAACTCAGCATCCGTGACATAGTTGATCTCCAAGAGACGGGCTGTACTGTCAGAATCCAACCTCCTGGAACAGAGAGTTTTGAGCTCCAGGTTCTGTGCTGTCGTTATTTCCCCTATATTTATTACTTTATTACTTTATTACTTCCCTTCACGTCGTTCTGATTCACTCTTGTCTCTCCTCCGCTCTCAGGTGTCAGGCCAGATGTTGGTGGCGGAGCTGCACCAGGTGCTGATGGATCACGAGGTCACATGTCATCGCACACGTTTCTCTCTGCAGCTGGGAGGCACCACTCTGGAAAACCTCACAGAGCTGCGCTGCATCGAGGGCCTCCAGGACAGAACACTGATCAAGCTGGTGGAGGGTAACGGCCTCCGTCTACTCTGTCCTCATTATAAGTTTGCTTTTTCTAGAAGTTCACATCAGCATCAATTATAGATTTAAAAGGTGCTGAACACGTTCTTTCTCTTCACCTAAAAACTGTGAAATTAAAAAAGTCTCAGTTGTTCTTAAATAAATAAGGGTTCATTAGTTCACAGGTCTGTTGATGGAGAAGAATGTTGCTACAGCTCACGTGCAGACAGACACAACACAAAACTTCCAGTGCAATGGAAACATGTCAGTATTAAACTATGTGGGAGGGAACACAAGATAAGTCCAGGTCATTAGTATTCATGTCTGGATTGTTATTATATTGGTGATTCATCTCATCTTAGCGGGGTGGGTGTGGCTCAGGCGTTAGAGCTAATCAGACGGTCAGTTGACAAAACTCCAGATGCACAATATATATGAAGTTATAAATTACTAGATGTACTATGAAGCACCTCCTCTGATCTCGTTGCAGATTCTTACACAGTGCGTGACGCTCGTCTTCATCTCCGACATGTCTGTGATCTTCTGAGGAGCCTCGACCCTGCGGACGCTTACAACGGTGTGAACGGCAGCTCGCTGTCTTACCTCACCTTTTACACCAGAGGAGACAAGGGTAACCCTCTTCTCTTACACCTCCTCACATCAGACTCATTCGGAGCATTTCTGTCATTCAACATATTTACCCTTTCAGACAGTGAAAATGTGGGGAAGAGGAAAGTCTCTGAGAAGGAGACCGTTGACCACAGGCCTCCAGAATTCATCCTCCCTGGATGTAAGGAGCGACCTCTTTCTCCACTGCAGCCCGTCAGAGAGGACTGGAAGGTGAGAGATAAACTTATAACTGCAAATATGACTTTGTTAAACATATTGTGCAGGATTCAATGAAACATGTTCTCTTAATTCATAGTGAATTGTCATTACAGCCTGTACAGTGCCTGCGGGTTCTGACAATGAGCAGCTGGAACCCTCCTCCAGGGAACAGGAAGATGCATGGAGACTTAATGTACCTCAACGCCCTGACAATGGAGGACAGAGAGCTCAACATTACATCCTCTACACGTGGTTTCTACCTCAACCAGTGAGTGTTACACTGTCCTTGCTAACTGTTTAGTTTTTAAGTGCCTATTGCTTTTGTAATCAATGAGGTTTGTAGAAACTTGTGCTACAGTTTGTGCGCTCTGACTGCTCCAGGTCAACTGCCTTCAACTTCAACCCGAAACCTGCAGCTCCCAAAATCCTCTGCCACTCTTTGGTTGAGCTGCTGAATCACGTCAGTCCTGCGTTCAGGAAAAACTTCAGTGCCCTGCAGAAGAGAAGGTGAGCATACTGTCTGTTATCACCTCCAACCATCACGTGACAGGTAAAATATAAATCTGGTAAAAGATAACATACTGACCTTGCAAACAGGTAAAATGTTGTCTGTCTCTTGCTTTGAACCAGAGTCCAGCAGCACCCTTATGAGCGTTTCGCAGCACCTTTTCAGGTGTTCACCTGGACGGCCCCTCACGGAGAGCACACCCTCGACTGTGTCAGAGCGGAGGAGACGCACGCCAGCCACATGGGCCAGGACAAGCACACAGCCGGGCAGGTTGCAGACACAAATTATGCAGAGAAATATAATATTGCACTTAACTACAGAACTTATAGGGCACATGCATGTATGCACTGATGGTGATGATAATGCTGATATTTAGATTGTGTGTTATGACCAAAGAGTCGGGACTGGAACGAGGAGCTGCAGGGATGCAGGGAACTTCCCAGGAACTCCCTGCAGGAGCGTCTGCACAGAGAGAGGAGCGTGTTTAAGGTGATTTCACTTCTTCTCTCCAATGTTCTCCCACATCAGTAGAGAAGATGATTTGTGACTGTGAGATCATCAGTTTTCCTCTTAAACTTCTCTATGCTGTTCAGCTTTTTAATACAGGTTATACAATTACCCAATGTTTCCCCTCTGGCATTAGATTGTGTTGCTTATTTGTTGCCCTTTTGTTTACTACATTTTTTAAATCAACCTTTCCAGACCAACAGTGACTTTGTTGCCGCCGCAACACAAGGAGCTGTGGCCGTAATCGATGGTAACGTCATGCCGATTAACCCCGGTGAGGCGCCTCAAATGCAGATGTTCATCTGGAACAACATCTTCCTCAGCTTAGGGTTTGACATATCTGAGCACTACCGACCACTGGGGGGCAACACTGCTGCTCATGCTGCTGCCACCTGCGACTTGAGAGGAGCTCAGGTAGTTTCTGACATCAATACCTGCAGGAGAAAATTAGAATGTGTGTGACTATTACATTCAGTCAATCAAGGTGATAATCCTCCCTGCAGTTGCATGGACTACTTTTAAAATTGTCACTCTTAAATGTTGTGTCTGATCTTATCCCCTTCCATGCAGATGTTTTTATATTCTTATCATCAACACAAAACTAATCAAACTGATTTTATGCAACACAGGCATATGCATCTGTCGACACAGATGGGCTTCACACACTTGGGACGGCTGTGGTGGATTATCGTGGCATCCGTGTCATCGCTCAGACAATTGTTCCTGGGATACTGGAGAAGAGTCAGGAGCAGAGTGTCGTCTATGGCTCCAATGACTATGGAGCCACTGTATTTACGCACCCAAGGTAAAATAAACAGAAAACCAAAACGTCAATCAGATATTTACGTCTTGATCGAGTAAAAGTGGAAACAGGAAACTTTCTTAACCTTACTCCACATGATAACAGGTGTGTATTCCCACAGGTTTCTGGAGCTTCTGGATAAAACCAGTAAACCACTGAGAATCCAGCGTCACCAGGTGCTCAACCACAACAACATCCCAGTGGAGCTGTGCTCTGGCATCGAAACCAAGGGCATCCTGGGTAACGATGGACGACCTTACATCTTGGATCTTCTTCGAATCTTGCCCCCTGACCTCAACTTCCAGTTCTCAGAGACTGCAAGTGAGATGAGGGAGATGGTGGAGACAGAAGAGGAGGTGCCAAAAGAATGTAAGAGCCTGGGTTACCCACGGCGACATCGTCACAGCCTGGCCAGCCTGAGACCGGAGCTGATAGAGGCTTTTGTCCAGCATAGGTGAGGGAGGGGAATGTCAGGCCCCTACAGAGCCCCATGTAGGGCCCCATTAAAACTGAGGGATGGAAACAAAGCATTTCATTCTCTCTTGTGTTTTGTGTTGCAGATATGAACTTTATGTCAAGATGGTGGCCCAGGGGCTCAGCCAACTGGAGGAACAGGAAAAGGCTACGGAGCAGAGTGAAGATCTGGCCTGTGAGCCGAGAACTGGAGCTGCAACCACAGCCACTGCTGCCATGGGTGACTAACACCGGCAGAATATTGATTAACCACGAGAAGCTGGTTTACTGCAGAGAGAACTTGAGTTGAGAAACACAAGACTGAGAAAGTACAGAAGGTTGTGATCATTGATTGATTGTGATATTTTGCAATAATTCACATTTTTATCATTTAGAATCTCAGAGAAGAGATGTGATGATCAAAGCTTGTCAGGCTGTCGGATCAGTGAGTGACACTCGCTTTGACATCCGCTTCAATCCTGATGTTTGCTCTCCAGGTACTGAATACACACTCTCTCTCACACACACACACACACACACACACACACACACACCAGATTAAACAGTGTGTCTTTGCTGCAGGTGTACGTTTCTCATCTGAGTCTGTCGAGGACGTTCAGAGACAGAAGAAGTTGTTATGGGACGCAGCTGCTTTTCTATTGTCCAGTCAGATTCCAGCAGTGGTGAGTGTTTTATGAAGCAATAACTATGTGCATGCAAGTTTAACATGTGTGATAATGGTGTGTGTGTGTGTGTGTGTGTGCGTGTGTGTGTGTGTGTGTGTGTGTGTGTGTGTAGCTGAGGGACTGTCTCGACCACACAGCAGTGCCGATGGATGGAGGGACCCTGACGTCAGTGCTCCATCAGCAGGGTGTGAATGTGCGATACCTGGGCACCCTACTGGGGGAACTGCACAGGCTGGAGGAGAGAGAGAGACTCAGCCACATAAAGGTACATTTACCACAAATATTATTAACTCTATACTATGTGTATGTAAAGTCAGTGCAGCTGTCAACCTCAAACCTTAAATGAGATTATTTTGCAGGTAAAGGACTGACAGTATTTATAGATGTGACCTCACATTAGAACCAATTTAAGGTTTTTCGCTCTAAGAAGCTCAGGATACATTTTAATTATCATTGTTATTACATTTATGTATTCAGTTAGTCTAATTGAGATTATTGTCTCTTTTGCAAGATACCTGATTACAGCAGAGACAGTGCAGTCTGTCTGAGAGAAGAAGAATAACTCCTAAAACTCCTAAGACTAATATGATAACTCCAGTAAACTAACCTAGAAATAAAAGGAAAAGAAATGCAGACCATGGGCTGTTTTTGCATGAAGTATAACAACATCAAATAAAATAATGTGGAGCAATACTCATTGTTCTTGCTGATTCGGTAAAGGAAGCTTATTTTTTACTTTAAAAGAACTGATCAGATGTTCCCTCACAGAGACTTGCTGTCAGTGAAGTCATCATCAGAAGTGCAAAACACATCTTCAGGATCTTTCTACAGGTGACGAGCTCAAATATTGGAACCTTCAAATGTTCACATTTTACATTCTCGCAGTAATTTTCTAACTAAGTTTCTAATCATCACAGGATGTGGAACCTGCAGCTTTCTCTGCAGCCGTCAGTCACTTCCTGAACTGCCTCTTGAGCTCCTCATCCTGCACCCCCGACTCCTGCTCAGACGAGCTGCACTCTCGCCGCAGGTGCCGACGCAGACGGAGCCACGGGAGTCGAGTCGCTTTGTTGACGGACAGCGTGTGGGCGAGGCTGACCCCCAGTGAGCTGTGGAGCAGGATCAAGACTGAGGCCGGAGAATATTTTAACTACACAATAGAAAGGTACATGTGTGTGTCTGTGATTTCTTAATGTGTGTGGCTAGATATGTGAAGCATAAATTTAAACATTGACTCTCTCTGTGTCCAGTGACAGTATAGATGAAGTGATAGAAAAGCACGGCCTTCAGAGGATCTCCCTACTGAGAGAAATCGCCATCAAGACGGGCATCCAGGTTAGACATCTAACTCTCTTCATCATACACTTCCTAAGAATGGCACTCAGCAGAGCATATACCTCCACCAGGGCCCAGCTGTCCCCTTAAATACAACCAAGCTGCACCAAATTTCACAGACTTATATACTTCCCCTACATATGCATGATTTCTTTCATCTAGACCCATAAATTATTCCATAATAAATCAGTTATGAAAACATAACCCTCTCAGCAGGGGGGTAACTAGCAGACACTTTGGGTACCAAAGTGCAAAGTTATCTATTGCTGCTTCAAAATTCAGCAAGTTCTATTGTTGTATATAAGTTAACACAAGGTTAATGGTACAAGGAAAAGTGTTGGACAAGAGGTCAGGCCAGCGATAAGATAAAATAACATTATAACAAAAATATAAATTATAACAAGAGAGAAGAATTACTAGTTATAAAGAAATCAGAAAATCTAATTTAAAAAGAGGGCTGGCAACTTGTTTCTCTCTCTGTGTATTTAGGTGCAGCTGAGGGAGTACGTGTTTGAGTCTCGACACAGGCCGGTGTTTGGTGAGGAAGATGTCGTCAACATGTTCCCTGTGGTCAAACATCTCAAACCCACAGCTACAGATGCTACGCGCCTTGTGCAACATGCACAGGTGGCAGTGCAGCAGGGTGAGAGATGCACAGCACACACGAGCAAGGAAAATTTACATCAAGTAGAGTATTCGGTTTACATTGAGAATCACATGGTGGCCTCGCCTGGGTGCTGGATGTGACTGAACCTTTACAGGAATAGTCGCTCAAATGGAGCTTTTAACATGCTAATGTATTAAAATCATTCAGTGTGTTAAGAGCTTGCAACAGGATCCTAGTGCAGACGACCGGCAGATGATCTTAGTTTGTTGCGTACATGTGTTTTTGCTGTCAGGGCTTCTCAGAGACGGCTATGAGCTGATAAGCCAGGCCCTGACTCTGTTCAGCAGCGTCTGTGGGGTCCTGCATGAGGATGTGTGCGTGTGTCTGCGTCTCCTTGGACGACTCAGCTACATCTTGGGGGAATATGCGGATGTAAATATTCATTAATGTTCCTTTCACAACTTATTGTCTATAGCCTGGTCCCAGATTTCTGAACCATCACCCACATGTCAAGTTTTATAAAAATATGAGCTGTCATAAAGAAAAGTTGTCGTCATGTCTCACAGGCTCTCAGCCACCAGGAAAAGGCTGTTATGAGTAGTGAGCGAGTCCAGGGTATTGACCATCCGCAGACCATTCAAGACTATGTGAGTTCCTTCACCATCTTATTGATCCACAGACCATTTCTCTCAGAAACATCTCACCTGACTGGAGGTTTTCTCCTGTCTGTCGTTCAGACTTACCTGGGCCTGTACTGCTTTGCTGGAGGCCAACTCTCCACCTCCTTACAGCTGCTGTATCGAGCACGGTACCTCACGCTGCTTGTGAGCGGAGAAGACCATCCTCAGGTCGCACTGCTGGATGTAAGAGAGAACACATCTGCAAAGTGTTGCCTTCTTTCTTTCTACTTTTAAGATGTTATTGATCTATTATTGACATTTAAAGTCATTTATACACGTTTGTTAGTCAGTGATTTTTGCCAATTTGTGGATTTGGTTCGTTAAAAAAGTCTTTCTTGGCCCGTGTGCCATCCTTCCTGTAATGTGCCTGTTGTGCTCCACTCAACAGAGTATGCTGGGTCTCGTGCTTCATGGACTGATGGAGCATGAACTTTCCCTGAAGTTCCTACAGAATGCCTTAAATTTGACCTCAAAATACCGCGGCGCCACGTCAGTGAGGCTGGCACACAGGTGACCGCTGTTTTTTTCCACATCCTTCTATTCAGAAACAGACAAAAACACATTACAATTACAGAAAATGCTGGAAATGCTTCCTCTTGATTTTTTATTGTTACGTCTCTGTGTCTGCATGTCTGTCTTCCCCGCAGTCATCATCTGCTCGCTACCGTGTACGAGACCAAAGGAGAGTTTCGATCAGCTCTGCAACACGAGAGAGAGGCCTATTCAATATATAAGAGCCAGGTGTGTTTTAAAAAAGTGGAATACCATATTTTCTGGTGTTGTGTTGATGCTACGTGCTCATAATTTTAATTAAAACACTTTTGCTGTTGCACATATGAAGGTTGGAGAGAACCACGACAGTACGAAGGAAAGCTCAGAATATCTGAAGAGCCTCACTCAGCAGGCTGTGGTCCTTCAGAAAGCCATCAACCATTTCTACAGTGACACACCCGGTGCCCGTGTTCCACCTCTGAAGGTTTGTACTGATTAAGTCCACGTACTTTAGTAGTAAATCAATTTCTGCTTAATCTCATGAGTGTTTCTGCCCAGTTTTCCAGTCCGAGCCTTCAGGCGATTATTCAGCAGCTCAACCTGACGTGTGGAATCATTCTCATCCCCCTCAGGTGAGCGATTAAATCTTGCAGTTAGACTTTCAATTATATTATGGTTTTAATTGTGATCTCTCCTGATTATTTAAGGGTTTGTTAATAAATCGCTGCATCCATTGTGTCTTCCTCTCTAGTGCAAAAGACGTGGCAGACCTGAGGACGGGGATGAAGAGAAAGGATAAGGTTCAAGTGGAAGAGCTGGAAAATCAGATGTTAAAGTGGAGGAAAGATAAAGGACAACAAAACTGAACTATGTAGCTACAATAGAACAATGTGTTTTCTGCCAGACTTCTGAAAATGGCCGCGGACAATGAGCAGCATGGCCGATGAAAGTCTGATACATTGAAAGTGAACATACTTTGGACAGCCAAGGAACAGACAGGTGCAGTTTGTTCTGCTGTTAATTGAAATAAATGGAATCCATGATTGAAGCTGGGTGGCACTGTGGTGAAGTGGTTTGCACTGCCTCTCATAGGTTCTATAGGTTTGATCCTGATGGCTAATTTCTATGTTGAGTCTGCATGTTCTCTCTGTGTCTGTGTGAGTATTCTCCAGGAACTCCAGCTTCCTCCCACAGCTCCAAAACATGCAGTCTAGCTTAATTAGACACTAACTTGCCCAAAAGTGTAAATGGTTGTTATTTATAATTTTGTCAGAAAAATAGCCTTGACCTTACATTGTTATTCTGCTGCCAGATTTTTACAGTATGTTTAGTTCAACTTCTACAGAGAAAGAAAATGTAGCATCACTGTACTAAAAGGCCAAAGTTATTATTATATATTTTTTAAATGATGTGCCCTCGTCTCGCAATCCCCTGTGTGTCCACTGGGTCTCACACTTGTGCCATGAACACCTCTACCAACATGACAGATGATTTGTTTATGATTATTAAAATACCCCCTTTTATCGTTTTGGATGTGTACTAGCTGACCATGATGCTTCACTCTGCTGTCATTAATGTCCATGTCACTGGAGGTAAACAATAAGCAGATAAGCCTGTGTAAATTAGCAATAAATCGAGTTAGTGAAAGGATTTTGAATGTCCCCTTTAACTCTTGATCAAAGTATTAGATACAGTTTGATGTGGTATTGTATTGTCATCAAGTGGCATTTTGACAGTTGGTCTATCGACATAAAATGAGGTGGTATTGACTGTGAACTTAATGAAATGTGTTTTAGAATTTGGCAGAAATTACTGATATTTCAATGTATTGCTCATTACTGTGAATGTGAAAATGCAGCCCATGTGGCTGGTGTCGAATTATAAAAGGTCATGTTAGTTTCCTTGGAGTTGTTTCATTATTCACCACCTATGGAGCAGCTCCATGATTTGTCATCATCACTACAGCTGCTCATATAAAGAGAAGGGAAACTAGTTTTTCGGTAAAGTTGTTCAAATTCAAACATGCACAAAATAATATTTATTCTAATAATATTACAAAATAAACTATGAGAATTGTAAGTAAACCCACAGAGACTCAACCAGCCCATTCTTTATATAACTAAATACACAAGTTTAAAAAGTTGGTCGAGCATCAACTGTGGTGACAAAACGAGACTCAGCATTAAATCAATTCAAACAGATGTTGGAAACCTGATTCGATATTATATATGAAATGGATGGTTGTGGAATTTGCTCTTGCTGGATGTTTATGTTTACTGATTGTGATTGATTGTCGCATTTCACAAAATGTATTTATTTTGACAGTGTAGTTGTCTTTTTCTTACTTGCTTCTAGAGATGTCTTTATATTTTAAACATGTTCAAAATAAACACCTATGCTAACTTACAACTACTACTAAGAATTCGTATTATGTATTTATCATTTGTGTTCTCATTAGTATTACTATCATTATTATCATTATTACTATTATTATTATTATTATATGATCCACTTCAATTACAAGAGGGTAAGATGTGCACGTTGCGCGCCCCCTGCTTACCTCTACGTGCGCGCAGCCGATATCCAATCGCGACCGTTAGCTGGAGCGAGCTCGCTGGTACCAAAGAGGAGAGAAATCTGAGCGGCGGCACCGGCTGATGTGAAAAGTCACCATATCTCACCCAAACCAGGCTTCCCGTCGCTTCCTCGGACCTGTCAGGGGGGAATGAGAATCGCCATTTGTCAGACGGTGAGTTGGTTATTTCGACACGCGTCTGTATTTTTGTTGAGGCACTTGGGAAGACTTGTTATTTTTGACGACGGATCGCCTGCAGTGTCTGCGCTCTCCCGTCCCGATCTCAAAATGGCGGAGAGGCCGAGGGCTAAGCTAAGCTAGGCTAGGTGGCAAAGTTGCCCCTCGCAGGAGCATCGGTTTAGAGGCTGAGCGTTACGATAGTGTGGCGGTGATATCAGTCGGCCACGCTTCGTGCGAGTATCACCTTTTAACAGCGGCTCTGCGCCTCTCGGCCAACGCGGGACTGGTATCGAGACACTTGTTGTGAGCGCTAGCCGAACATTTGGCTAACGTTAGCTTCGGCTATCTGTGAGAGTTCTGCGGGGACGAGCTAACGTGGTACGTTAGCAGGCTGAGCTAACTTCGGTGCTGTCAGTTTGCTGCCATGTTTTCTACAGCCGGGTGCAAACATCATGATGTTGTTGGGTAAAATGCACAAATTGGATGTTTTATTTTGATCGTTCGATTTGTACGGATAACTAATAGTTTAGCTAGTGGTGCCTTGTATTAGTAAATAACAGCTAATAGCCCTATAATCAAACTCGGGTTGCTTATCACATCCTCCTATACATGTTAACGAGGTATCGGTTCATTTATTTCCAACATTCGGTTGTGTTGCTCAGCTTCTTGATGTCATAGACCAACGCCCTTTGTGTTTTGAAACGATGACTGGCTGTTAGCATAAATCTGCTCAGCTCAAACTGACAGCTCCTCTGTTAACGCGTACGTTGCCGTGCTAAGCTAACGCTAGCTGGAAAGGGCGTTGCTGAGCCACTGCTGCAACTTTGCCCTTGTGGCCATCGAAGCTTGGAGAGAGACATCACCGGAGCCAGATTTCCTCCCCCATTAATAAAACAGTATTCAGCCCATTTTCGGCTGTTGTCCTCCATGCTGCGAGCTTCCGTAACGCAGTCTACCCAGGATTTACAACCAGGGTGGAGACTGAAAAAGGATCAGCCCGGAATAACGATAATGAACCTGGCTAACGTGGACAGATTTCACTTGATTCATAGAAAGGTCTCGTGTGCTGAATTTCTCACTGAAGGCCTACTAATTGTTGAGAAGCTGCTATTGCGTAGCAGAAAGGTGAAGGCCTATTCCTTTAGAAAACGTTATGAGGAACATTATCATTTATTTCTGCTTAATTTCCTCCATCATCTTCATCATGTTTTACCCAGTAAATGTTTTGAGATACGTTAAGGTGGTGTTTTGTTGCCACACCCCCCTCTATATGTACATAACTACACTTATTTCAAAAATTATTTGCAATACTTTTGTAAGGATAAACAAATATGTATTGGTTTTATGTTTCTATGTAATGTGCTGGTCTTGTCACAAAGTCAAGTCCATAGCGTTTGCATTGCTGACACATGCAGTTTGTTTTAGATTCTGTTTGACTAACTTTTGAACTGTTTTTATTGTGCAGCAATAAATTATTTACTTAATAGTGTTTGGAAATCCTGGAGTTTAGAGACATCATTGTTTTTAAAGTAGTAATGAAGTGCTGTGTAAGCTGCCATTTGAAGGAAACAGATGATTTGCCTTGCTGTTTTAATTTGTAATCAAACATTGCCTTGTCAGTTTGTACTGTCATGGTCTTGTTTGGCCTGAAGGTCACCCATGCATTGCTCAGCAGCTCCACTAAAACAGCATGATGACTGAAAGCTTGATCTGCTGCTTTCATTGCCTTTTTGTTTCCTGGTGTTTACGTCTATTGTCTCTTCTTCTGAAGTCAATGGTACTTTTTTTTAATCACTTCTGCTTTAAAAACGACATTGATAATAATAGCAATACACTAGACATTCAATATAATTTGCCATATTTATTTAAGCAGTTTCAATTCAAGACTTTAGGATCCTGTAAAACAGCAATTTTGGGCATATATATCCTCTGGCTGTACGTCTAATCCTGATGTACATATGTATGTATTGGGTACCCCTCCAACTATCATTTTAATTATATTTGTAAAACCTATAAAATGACAATGAATTTGTTCATTAATGGATCAGTTGCTCCACAGGTTGTCTGCAACAGTTTTAATTAAATTATTCCTTCAATCAATTATTCAACAAGAATAGCAGCAACCGTTCTGTGGTTCCTGCTTCTCCAGTGTGAGGATCATTGTAAATTCAATAGGTTTGGAATTAACTGAACAACAAGACATCCAAGCACATCTCCTGGGGCTTTAAGAAACATTTTGACATGTTTATATTATATTTATAAGGATCACACCTTTGCATTTACAAAGACATTTCTTCACATGTTTAGAGAATGTTACATAAATGTAAAGCTTGATAAGTGTTGTCTGTGTTGAGAATAGAGGTAGATTGTGTGTCACGTCACTGCTGCAGGCGATGCTTGTTTAACTAAACATGGCTCTTAGTTGAAGACGAAAAAATATTCAGTGCAAGACAGATGAGGCATAATTGATGTCACAGCCGGCTATTGTAGCCCAACGGGAGCTTAGTCAGATAAACTTTTCACCTTTTTATATTTCAGTGTTAACCAAGAGGCTATGGTATAGGAACATTATGTAGTTCTTAAACGAGCAGGACAGGTATGTAAGTTGTATTTGTGTACTTTGATCAAGAGCGAATGTGGTAAGAAGGAATCCTGCTCCGTCTTATATTGGTTCTTTGAGAATGTGCTTGTTATCTGTTGAAATGTTTCACTCAAACCAATCTGCCTGGTTTTATAAATCTTCAGATACTTTTGTGTTTCAATTGTTTATTCGTATCTACGTAAGAGCTATGTTTGTAATCGATTCATGAAGTCTATGAAATATCTAATTGAAACGTGGCCATCACAATTCACCGGAGTTCAAGGTCATGTCTGCAAATTTTGTCAAAAAGTAAATAGATATCAGTGTTTTATACAGCTGCATACATCTCACACTGCTCACACACACTGCTACAGCCAAAGAGTGCTGCACACTGTTCTACTATTAAGTAACTAAGTTAAGTTACTTAAGCTTAGCGTACACTGTACGATTTAAGCCCATTTTTGCCCCATCTCTTTTTAGATTCGTATGATTTTCAGCGTTGTCTTTTGCCGTGCAATTTACAAGGGGGAGCGAGCAGTGATTTATTGCTCCCGATCGACACATTAGACACTCCAGTAGCTTTCTGACATGTCAGAAATTTTGGTCGGCCGACATTGTCTTGCACAGTTAAAGCAAAGCCACAAGTCGATTCCTCAAACTCAGTTTTTTTCCTGACTGCACCTATGCTAAGTGAAAGTGAACTGAACTGAAGAAGCCACTTGGATGACAGATGATACGTTTCACTTGATTACATGATGTAGCCTCTATAATGGGCTTTCGTTTGTATACATTGTATACACTGACACGGGCATTTTACAAGTACAGTTTGAGCAGTCAGGTCGTGGCTGAAGATCAGACCGTACAGTCAGAGCACATAAATCGTGTGCTTTGGCTTCACATTGCACAGGATTTACTTGTACAGTATGAGTTGGAATTTTACAATAGCATTTCTGAAATCGTACAGTGTATGCCTGGCTTTAAAGAGCTTTACACTTTTTTATGAAAAAAAAACCTATCAAATCTGTGATCAAAAGGCACCATCTTGAATGACAGAGTTGAAAGTTGTGATTTCATAATGGAATAAAAAGTTTATTTCTGTGTTGAAGTTCTGAACTAACATTGTGTTTGCTTCTCACTTGGAAATGACCACAGGCATAGTTCACATATCAACAGACACGTATGTTATGAAAACAAACCCTCTGCCTTTCCTTTTCCTTTGGTAGAATCTTGTTTATGTGTACAGGGGATTTCAAAGTAATCGTGGCCTGTTCAGAGAAATCCACTGTGCCTTTAGACCATCAGACAGGTCATAAAGAAATGGCCTCTGCATTATATCCTTTTGATAAACCTGACACACAGACAGGACCTTGAACCCTTCATAATTTATGACTCTGACCATGTTCCCACTGAGTCGCACTAAGCATAGATAACAGCACATTTGCATCTCACTGCAATAACTGATGTAAGAAATCTTAATGTAAGAAATAGAGACTTGAAAATACTTTTTACCAACTAAAAACAGGCCTTGTACTGTCACTTTTAATTTGTATCTATTAGTGCATTTAAAACAAACTGTATCTCTCAAATACAGTAGCTGGTGAATCTCAAGAGTCAAAGACAGGTGCAGAAGCCACAGATTGTCTTGGTTATGTAATAGATTGGACGTTGGTCTGTTTGGTCAAATGGCTATTTTTGAAACACACAGAGTGCTGCTCTGCTACAATCACTAGTGTCCTGTCAACTCGGAGCGTTCATCACGTTGAGTTCCCTCTAGGACACTTGAGGTGCGGCCCTGGCTCAGTGTTTTCTGCCCCCTGCCACTGCCACATGCTTCCATTGGAAAGAAATGATCATCTGCAAAGTATAAATACATGCAGAAAAAATAATCAGATTTTCTAGACTTGTCTCCAACACTATTCTTTATTTTCTTGAAGGAGTGTTTTGTGTTTAGAAGCAGCAGCTGTGAATAGACAAAGAACTGAGCAAGTACGATGCACCAGACAATGATACAGACAAGGGCACCTGCTGTTTAGGTCCTCTCCCAATGTCTGGGGTTAATCCTGTTAGCTACCGTCCAGTCCCTTTACATTGCACTGTCAGCTGTAAGGAGGACTTGTGGTCTCTGTCACTTTGAAACACACACACACACACACACACATATAGACTGTACATTGTCTGGTCTAGCCGCTAAGCAGCTTAGTGAAAATGTGGCCCCAGGTGCCAGCAGTGTGGAAGCTCAGGAAGTGATTCGTTATTAGTTTAGCGATCACTGAGGGAGAGTTTTGATTTTGCAGCGTGTGCTGTTGATCTCTGCTCCTCTATTGGGATGGTCACATAGAAATCATACTAACATTTTATAAAAAATTTTGAAACTGCTACAGTCATAAATATGCTTACAAATGCCAACTTCATTTGGGTTGGTACAACATAAACTGGGCTTCTGCAACATCCACAGATCAAGAAGGTTGAGAATTTCCTATTCTAGTCGTACAACAAATATTTTTTCTCAATGTGTGTGGAAATGTATGTCATGTAGTAAAATCTGAGGCAGTGATAAACAGTCTGAAGCAGGGCCTGGTGATATGAATTCAAATCAATATCACAATAATTTCAGACTTTTACCTCAATTAACTCACTCCTTTTTCTCTTCTCTTCATCAGGGGGATGGGCTCGTCTGATCAGTGAGTGAGATTTGGATCATCGTGAATACACGTGGAGCCTTGTCCGGATAGTTGATTGACAGCAGCACCTCCAGTTCACCTCCCCCTGTGTGGCCCTTTTTCGCCACTTCCGAGTCTCTGAAGGAAGAAAATCACAGAGGGACCAGAAACCTCGTCAACACACACTTCCTAGCCAGACTCCCCCAGTACCTCGCCTCACCCTCACCTCCCCAAGTGGGAGAGAACAGCAGCCATCATGGTGCTGTCACAGAGACAAAGAGATGAACTGTGAGTGCCTGGATGTAAATGTGTGTCGGCTCATTATTCATGCAGACAAGAACAGACATGTTGACTAACACACATTTGTGCTTGTGTAGAAGTGTATTTAAGTGCATGTACATGTAGGCTTTTGAGCACTGATTAAAAAGTTTATCCACAAGCACAAATGTACACCCCATGTTAAGAAATCAGTGGAATATGATCAGCTGTTTGAGTCATCCAGAAGACAGATGTTGTGGGAAAGTGCATTCATTTAAAGGAATGTGTAATCATTGAGGAAATGTGACGAGATGTGAGCTTCAAGGTGCTTCACTTGATAGCTACTTAGTGAATATTTCATAACCCACATGACTGGAGCAAAGAGGTGAGGGGGATGGGGAACAAGGAGGAACTTGAAAAAAATGATGGTTTTTTAATGTGAGCCGCTCTGTGCAGTGGTATCTGGCTCGCTGATCACATGGCATGCACTCCAATTCAGCACAGCCCAGTCTAGACAGTACAACATAGTAGTATCATCTTTGTTTAACTCTTATAAGTCAAGAACCTATGTGGACTGTTTATGTTGAGTTTTGAAATTATTTGATTGGGATCATCAAGTGGAAATCCTGTTGCCTGTTGTGGTTGAATGTTCAAAGTTTATAACACACAGTTGTATCAGGGTTACAATTATAAGCTGTTAAAAATAGCTGCTGCCCTAAATTTAACCCTGTTACTCATGAAATATTAACCCCTCATCTCATGAAGGAGCTGCTCAACTCATTTATTTAAATGTGTGTGTGTGTCTATACGTCTGTATATTTGTAGACGAGCCTCTGTTTAACGTTGTCTCCATGTGCCTGTGGTTGCCCTGTTCTTGTGTTGCCCGTGTTCTGTCTTTGTGGCGAGTGGTTTCCAAGCAGCAGCTACAAAAACAGTTTCCCCATAATTCAGCCCTTACGTTTTATTTTCTGTGCTATCAAATTTGTGGACATTTAAGATGGAATTTAAACTTGAATCCTATGGCTCCCATTTGTTAGAAAGGGTGTGGCCTCCTCTTTTTCAAGGAGCAGCCAGCATCTGTGGATGGTGGACTTGATATCTGTTTTATGTTACCTTTTCACAGAAACCGAGCTATAGCCGACTATCTCCGTTCCAATGGGTACGAGGAGGCCTATTCCACCTTCAAGAAAGAGGCAGAGATAGATATGGTAAGGAGCGACAGGAACAGCAAAATGTTCAGACAAATGACAAAACATTTTTAACTTGAATATTTACTGAGGTTAGTGGATCCTTTTCTTAATGTCTGTGTTTTTCCTCTAACCACAGAATGAGGAGGTAGATAAAAAGTATGCTGGGCTTTTGGAAAAGAAATGGACCTCAGTCATCAGATTACAGAAAAAGGTAAGGAAAGTTGAACTCTGTGTATTTGGAATTTGCCGAGATATTTGATACATGCTTTGCAATTCAAATGTAAGACTGACTAATCCTGTGGGCTTGCAATTTAGCTGTTGGTACTTTCTTCAAACTCCTCTGTTCCTTGTCTCATCCCTCTGCTTCAGGTGATGGAGTTGGAGTCGAAGTTAAACGAGGCCAAGGAGGAGATGACACATGGAGGATCTGTGAGTCAGAAGAGAGATCCCAAGGAGTGGATCCCCCGTCCCCCAGAGAGATACGCCCTGAGCGGGCACCGTGCCCCGGTCACGCGTGTTATATTCCACCCTGTCTTCTCTGTCATGGTCACAGCCTCTGAGGATGCTACCATCAAGGTCTGTGTGTATGTTTACGAACAGGATTGACACAGTGATCTGCCATTTTAGTATGTACAGCTACCTACATCTGATGTAATAAAGCACAATAATCCTGATCTTGATCATCAGTTCTAAATGCAACCTGTCATATTCAGTTAATGCTGAGATTTATGATCCACCTTTATGTCAGTGGGACAATAAAACATTGTAGACCATTCGATCTGATGCAACACAATCCAAGCCACTGCAGCCTCCAGAGTGCACATTGACATAAATCAATAACTGTCTAACAGTGTAAACAAGGAGCGTTGTAGCATGGCTTTTGCGTTGTATTATATTGTATTACATTCACATTTATATACCTACAATACTAAAGGCAATTTGTAACTGTATAAATATATCTTAGAACAGAGGGTGTGTTGTAAATATTTAGTATAAGGATTTGTTTAAGTCACTTTAGTTTTTTTGGAAAATGTTGAACAAGGTTTAGTGGTGCAGTCTTGACCTACTTTTAATACTGCCCTAAAAAACAAATATCCATGTACAGCAATTAACATGATTATATGTTATACATTCATTTATGTAAGGTCCCATGTCTGCTCTCTGCAAATGTCAAAATGTCTCTAGAAATGACTCCTTTTGCTCTACTTATCTTCACATAGTGTAATATATCAAATGTGTCTCTAGCAGCAATATTGAAGGGCTGTAGTGGCTGAATTCAAAGTGAATGAAAGCAAGATCAGTGAGTGTTGCAGCTCACTACAACACAGCCTCTGCAGTTCTGACCCTTCAGATCAAAGCTGTACTGCAGATCTGAGGCTGCTCTGCCTTTTTATCCTCCCTGCTTCTGCTTCAGCATGCACCCCCCTCTCCCTCCCTTTATCCTCCTCCTTCCCCCATCCCTCCCTGCCACCCTCCCTCACTCTTTCTTTTTTCTGCTTTGTCACTGCTCATCTGTGTGGAGATGGGCCGGTGCACTTGTTGTCAGAGGCAACACTCCCAGAGCACAGCACCTTGGGAAACGTGCAAATCTGTCCCCTCTTTCAGCCACTACTCTTCATTTCATTTTAAAGTAAACTGTATATTTAACAGTCTATCTGTGTGTCTGACTGCAGTTGTCTTTATTCACTTTTCAGTTCAATGTTCAAACACATGATGTTACCTGAAACTCATCCTACCTGTTAAATCTATCAAAAAATACATAAACCCAATAAATCACTTTTTGCTGAAAACTCAATTAATTAAATGAAATTTCACAGTTAAATGTTTAGGGTAAGGTAAATAGCTAGGGGCAGGTGAGACTGAAGTTCCTGTCCGTCTGACTGACTGACTGTCTCTGTCTTTAATTTTAGGTGTGGGACTACGAGGCCGGGGACTTTGAACGAACCCTGAAGGGCCACACAGACTCTGTGCAGGACATCTCCTTTGACCAGACAGGGAAGCTGTTGGCTTCATGTTCAGCTGACATGAGCATCAAACTTTGGGACTTCCAGGGTTTCGAGTGTATCCGAACAATGCATGGTAAGTGATATTTAAAATTATAATGACGATAGTAGAGGAGCACCTGCAAAACTGCTGTCACTTATACACAAACACACATTTACAATAACATATAGTCTGATGCAGAAATGAAGCATTTTTTTAACTTTCTAATATTTGATTTGATGCAAGGTGCAACGCTATTTTAATTATAAATGGACCCAACAAATCTATTGTTCATAGTAATTGTTGTTAGCATGACTGACAATTCAATCAAAGCCTGTAGTTTTATTATGGGTCCTCAAGTTAAGAATTCAACATAAAATTCTGAAAAAGTTTGAGAGAAATCCCAACAAAAAAACATGCACTAGTTGTTTCACTAGGGTTGTTTTCTGTGTATTTTTTAGAAACTGAATACAAAATTATTTTCTAATGAAGAATTGGTCTAATGTTATAAATGTAAATGGTTTTGGACACATCTGACTCTGTGGTTCAAGTATTTAGATGAACCAGTCACACAACTAAACTATTGACTGTGTCGTCCAGGCCACGATCACAATGTGTCGTCTGTAGCCATCATGCCAAATGGTGACCACATAGTGTCGGCTTCCAGAGACAAGTCCATCAAGATGTGGGAGGTGGCCACTGGGTAAGTGAGGGCGAGCCTTACTACAACTCTCACTACCACAAGCTCACATAGAGGAAATCATATTGCATTTTGATCATTTTTTCCATATTCAAAATTTCCATGGTTAGAATTATAGAGATGATAATGTTTCTTTAGCATATAACTGATTCATGCTAAAAGCTGCTTTCTCACTGTTTGATTTACAATATCTCCATGTACAGGTACTGTGTGAAGACCTTCACAGGCCACAGAGAGTGGGTGAGGATGGTGCGTCCCAACCAGGACGGCTCATTGATCGCCAGCTGCTCCAACGACCAGACAGTGCGTGTGTGGGTGGTCACCTCAAAGGAGTGCAAAGCTGAGTTGCGGGAGCATGAACATGTGGTAGAGTGTATCGCCTGGGCCCCTGACAGTGCTCACCCCACCATCCTGGAGGCCACAGGCTCCGAGGTAAATACGGCTGCTACAGGATCTGACCTTAACCCACAGAGGATGTTTGTGTGTGTGTCTGGTTCAGCTGCAGAGTTTCCCACAATTGTTCATACTAAAGTCGAATCACATGATCTGAGTTAATGACTGCTTTATTTTAAGAAAACGGTATGGATATTTACATATGTGCATCTAAGTTCATGGTCCAGCCAACAGACATGCTAGTGTCTCTGAAGCTGTACTAAGAAACAATGACGGACTGGGCTTAATGCAATCAATAGTATATTGATAGGTTGACAATGACAATGCTCACATGCAGATGTTCAGCAGGTTTAATATTTGACAGTCCTAAGCTACTTTCAGACATTCACTGATCTGACACATCTGGAGATTTTCCTGAAATGTTTCAGAGGGGCTGTATGTGAGTAGGCAAATATCTGAGTCATGTCTGAGACATTGATAATAGTGTGCACAAAGAAAAGTATTAGACAAATTAAAATTAGCACCTGATGTTGGTGTTTGATTGAAAGTCAGCAAATTCATCTGAACAACCCACACACCAACACTCCTGCAGCAACACCACTATCATTACTGTAAATTGCCCCTTTATATCTTGAAAGCATCTTTTTGTTGCATTGTTCTCTTTCATGTATGCTCAGTGTTTCTTACATCTCCCCTGTCTGTGTTTTGCAGAGCAAGAAGAGTGGAAAGCCTGGCCCCTTCCTTCTCTCTGGATCCAGAGATAAAACCATTAAGATGTGGGACGTCAGCACTGGCATCTGCCTTATGACCCTGGTCAGTTGTTCAAGCGATGGTTATTATGAATGTCTCTGTGTTCCTGCTTACGAGTAAGGGGGGTGGTGGATAATCGGTCTTTGTTCTTCAGGTGGGACATGACAACTGGGTCCGTGGGTTGTTGTTTCATCCTGGCGGAAGATTCATAGTGAGCTGTGCTGACGACAAAACCATTAGGATCTGGGACTACAAGAACAAACGCTGCATGAAGACCCTGTGTGCCCATGAACACTTTGTTACCTCTCTGGGTAAGACACAGTTACCTATGAAATAAAACATTTTGCATCTTCTCCTTCTCCTCCTCAAACGTCAGAGAGAAAGCTGTAAGTTAAACCCAAGATGAATTGATGAACTTTATACGTCAGGTTAAAGTTATTAAATAATTGTTTTAGTCATTGAGCTTCTCTTTAATGCACCTGAACAACTGTTTACCCCTCTTGCAGATTTCCACAAGACTGCTCCATACGTGGTGACGGGAAGTGTCGATCAGACAGTCAAAGTCTGGGAGTGCCGCTGAGACTACGTCCGTCTCTTGCCCTGTCCTGCCTCCGATTCCCCTACACCCAAGCTCCAGAAGCAGTCCTAACCCCCCCCCCCACCCAACCCTCTCCCTTCTGTCCTGACACCCAGCCCAGTCCTTCACCTCTCGCACTACAAACCATAGTTGACCATGGCGCTTTACCTTCTCCCCATCCCCTCCCCTCGCTCCCCTCTCCTTCCCCACTCCCCTACATCAGTCCAGCCCTATTAAGAAGACTATTGTCCTTTTATGTAAATTATTCTGGATGTAGGGTACGCTTAATAAATGTCACGCAATCTCTGACACATAAACACACTCAAAAGATAAGAAGTATTCCTTGCATGGTGAAACAAAAAATAATTGTATACTGTTAAATTTGCCGAATTTGCATTCTGTTGTCATGACTTCCTGTCGGGTAAAAGGGTAAATATCCTTGTGTGCTGGCACAGGTGGATTTCAGGTAACTGACAGTGCACGGAAACCAATGGCACCCCATGTTGAAGGGGTTTAGGTTTATTTCTTGGTTTTGTTTTACTCCATGCCTCCATTCTTGTGGTCTGCCACTGCACAGATGGCGATAGAGAAGATGTGTGGAAAGTCACTGTAACAGAAAGAACGAGTGGAAGCTGTCCAGGAGAAGATGAGAATAAGTTGGAAGAAAAAAAAAAAGCATTCAGCTTCCTAGTTGAATCACATGAGGTTCTGTGGGTGAGTGTACGTGTAGATGTGTGTATACATGGTGTGTGCGTGTGTGTTTGTATATTATGACAGGAGAATCTCTCCAGCGTCTCTGCTCTGATGGTCAGAGGAGAGAGAGAGGAGGCAAAGCTTCTCACCCACTGTGTTCATTCATACGACTTCATCTCTTTTAACAAACTTGCTTTCTAGACACTCACAGGACCTTAATGATCCCTAAGCTGCTGAGAGCACAGGCACACACCCCATAGCAAAAGTGTGTTTTACAGAGGAAAAAGTCTGCTCACCTTTTATGAGATTTGTGTGTGTGTATGTCGCCCCGGAGAATCGCCCGGTGCCCTCTTGCTCGCTATCTCTGCCTTGTTAACCCATTGAGGGCTCCCTCACGGGATTTTCATTCTGCTTTCTGTGGTGTCACTGCTCTCTTTACACACACATACACATACACTCACAAAATGCACATACACCCACAGTAAAAGTTGTGTATCAATATATCTGGATGTCATTGTTTGCAACATAATGAAATAAAATTCTGTAAATATAAGTTGTATCTGTTTGTGTGGTTTCTTTGAGGAAAGGAGGTGAGGTGAGATGAAGGATGACTTCAGGGAGTCAGACAGGATTCACCGCGGCAAGGTTTCGTAGTGAGGTCAGATACTGCAGCACGTTCGAGTCCACACCACATTAAATATACTCACTGTTCATTCAGATGGTCCCATATCCAGTGTTGGTCATCACCTGGACTTTTGTAATTATTGCTCTATAAAGCAGAAGATGCAGATTAGCACCCAACTATAGCTGTAGACTTTTTAAATGTCTGGGAAACGTAAACTTTAAACAGTGTGTTTTAAGTTGAATTCTGTCTACTCGCTCACACTGTGTTCTGACATGCAAATTTCAAACCGTCACTTTGCGCTCATGAACCCATATGAGGACTTGAGAATGTAAACTACCAAAAGTAGTTTGGTCAAGACAAGAAAGTCTGTTGCCAAAAAAGCAAGTGTTGAATTAGATTTTATTTTAAAGAAATCTTGCTCTGATATTTTAAAATCATCAGGGTAAGAAGAAATGGGTCAAAATCTTGAAAGCTGCTGCTCCACAAAGCAAATATTATTTATGTATTAGTATCTGGCTGTGATGTCATTTCTGTCTCTTAGCATCTGTAGCATCTTCTCTCTGAGCATGGGGTCAAACACTGACGCTGTGTTTAGTGTTTCTAACGCAGATAAAACAGGAACAGATCAGTCGTGACCTGGAGCTTTTATTATCAAAGATGAGTTGTGGGATGTGAAGGATGCGGTGCTTAGATTTTAAGCTCTTCAGTGTTTTCTTGAGTCAACGATAAAACAAGTTGTGACATTTATTCCCCTGGTGCAGCTCAGCTACTTCTGCTGCCAGCTCTGACTAGGGAAGCGAAGACATCAGGAAGCAGCAGAGACAGTTCAGGCCCCCTTATCAATTATGTACGGTACCCCAGCCTACTTCTGTGCTCACGCTCACACCTGCTCATGCACCCACACAGCAATTACTCTTTTCTCTGTGCTCTGCGGTATCCTGGCAACAGTTGCCTGAACGGCGAGTGTGCATGCACCACACCTTGCTCCGTCCTGCTGGTCTGTGAGGGTGAAGAAACAGGGGGAGTGGTGGAGTCGAGCGCAAGGACAAACGCACACTCGTGGGTTGGTGCAGTAAAAGGACAGAAAATGGAGCAGTGAGGTTGAATGAAACTGGGGAGCGAGACGTCTGCACAAGTGAGAGTAGGGAGTTAATGAAAGGATAATAAACCTGTCTCAGTCTGAAAGTCCTGTTTCTCAACAGAGGAACTGGAGTAGAAACATTGGCCTACATCCACTCGCCACCACTCGTGCCTCCTGCACACTTTTCCCCGTGCAAGCCTGAGATGTAAAAGGAGAAGAAGCTCACTCTTTCATTTATATGTCCTCAAGATCACCAAATTCTCCCTTTCTTCTCTGGTAAAACTGTTAATATAGATTCACCGCAAAAGAAATGAAGTGAGAAGTGGTGCGGAGAGGTGTAAGTCAGCATCGATTCATGAGGAAGTGCTGAGAGGTTTCAAGGTCAATGTATGGAACAGAGCCGTCTCTGTCAGATGCAGCAGTATCGATTCTCTCGAACACCTGAACAATTTCATGTCAGTGAGGCAGTTTCTCTTTTATTCACATGTGCTGAGAAATAGTTTGTTTCCAGTGTAGAACTGAGCTCAGACGGCTGCCGGGCCTGTGTTGATATATAGGTTTGTGTGTCATCCCAGTATAGCTTACATGGGGCCCACTATAGTTTACGTGACCAGCGTTCTAATCCCTGAAAAGCCTGAGGAAGACAATGAGGAGAGGTTTAGCTGTAGCATCACTGGGATCAAGCATGTTGCAGGATGTGGCGCTCTCTGGTGGCAGCACGTGTGGAGAGATCCATGTCCCTATAAGGGCAAAAAACAGCCGCTTCCCTGCTCTGTGTGTAAGTGATCAGCGGTCACATGGAAGTCATGGAAAACATAATGAACCTGAGGGTCTGAGCAGAGGAGAGACATTAATGTGAATTGTTTGTATTTATTATGACGTGAAGTCCAAGAAGACAGCAGTTGATAAGCTCAGTTCTGTTATCACTGAAACTCAATTGCATCTTACTGTCCTCAGTGTGCCTGTGCCGATCTTCCCTTTGCTGCCTGATGTCACCCATCGCTATCGTCAGTCTGTCTTCATGTCCCTGTGTGTCTGTTTTGTGTGTTTCTATAGACCGGATGCTTTATGTCTGTGCTTCTACTGTGTATGTTTCAGTTAGTGTCTAACAGTGCAGTGCAATGTTGTTTTTAGTCTATATTTCTGTTAACATTAAAGGTACAGTATGTACAAATTAAAAGGATCAAGTGAATTTCAGTGTTTTCCTGAGGGGACTGTGTCTAGTGTGATATATAGGGGTATCCTGAAGGAACAGGAATATTATAAAACATTTTTGTTGCTGCTCTGTGTGCTTATAAACGATGAGTCATTTATGCAGAAATTTCAATTTCATGCTTTTTCTTTTTTAGGATAACTTTGTAACATCTGTCCAGGGGATACAGATGAAACGTCACTTCTTTGTGGACTTTACAGTCATGTGCACTGTCACTGATATATCAACTCAAACTTAGAACTGTATGTAGCTGTGGTTAAAGTATATTAAAGCATATGATTAAAAAGAAATAAATATCTGCAAAATGCACATTTTCAACTTTTTAAGTTGAGGATATGTTTCAGTCTCTGAGATGCTTGACATCCTTTGACATTAAGTTTAATTCTTCATTCTCCGTTCACTGTTTGTCTGACTTGAAATAACATCATTCATACTTTTACAATTTCTTCACACACAATACAGGCAACGTGTCCAAAGTTTTCAGTTTGAAGACAAGTAATGAAGGTTTCCTTTTGTTCCTGCATGTCTGTGAATCCCCACACGATTTCTCAAAGAGAGTTTCAGCTATAAGCACTTCCTCTGTTTAAAGTCTCCTGTGTTGCATTCCTTCCTCTTTGTCTCTGCTCTGTAGATCCACTAGTGATGCAGCACTTCTATCTGGGTCAGCCCGTCCCTGCCTCACGTCCCTCCCACCCTCTCCGTCTCTCCAAGCCACCCCTTCTCCTTCTTTTTCCTCTGTATATGCATACCTCCCAAAGGACGTTTTTTTGTGCAGCTCATGTGCTTACCATGTGCTGCAGCTCTGTCTTCCCTGCTCCCTCCCTCCCCCTCTGTTTGTGCCTCATTCATTTTCTCTCATGCATCCTGTCATGGTATCTCAGCCTGTTGCAAAGTGACTCCCACCCTCACACACACACAGGCATTTGTCTCTCACCATCTTGAGCTTCTGGTTTCCTCTGACAAATTCAATTGTAGCATGACAGTCTAGACAGTAATGGTGTTAGTAGGTTTTGTACGTGCACGCAGGGCGCACGGCGTGGCGAAGGCAGCCCCCATGTACCTCTGAGCTGCTGCTTTGATTGGCTGAGACTGTCAGATCCTATGATGTGTTGGAGGATGTATACGACTCGAAGGTGTCCAATCAAAGACTGTTACTATGCAGCCACGCATGTACTACATACGTGCATCTGTATACAGTGTGCAGACAAACATGCTACTGTAACACAGACCGTTAATCACATTCCAGATTTATTTATCCCACTGAGGGATAAATAACCATTACTGTTCTTACATCACATATTACACATCATCATGCAACCTATACACATACATCCATCATTAGTCACAGCATACATCCATCATTAGTCACAGCATACATCCATCATTAGTCATAGCATATATCCATCATTAGTCACAGCATACACAATAAGAGAGGTAGACCAGGACTTACATTCACTATCCTATATGCGTAAAACGAGTTGTTGCAGAGAAAAAGAAAATCCTTGTCATGCGTATGAGAAAACCAAGAGACAGGTAGTGAGATGAAATCTAGACAAATTAGCGTTTGCCTACTTCTGTTTTCAAATAATAGAACTCTTATGTTGAAGCCGGTTATCTACACATGTGTTTCTTTAGGCAAGATCATAGTTGTTGTTTTCCTCCATGATAAAAACATTACAACTTCTGTTTTTAAATTGCAGTTATTATATAAAAGTTCTTATGTTTGTAAAACCTTTCATCGTGTTTTTCTTTAAATTAAATGAAACACCTTTCTTGTCACTGCTCTACAGCCGGTATCATTTAAATTATAATAATGCAGTTGTATATGCAGAGTAGATCCTCATTAGTATTTCACTGTCAACACTTGTGTTCAGAATCATTTTTATTTCAGGTATGTGAACACACACGAGGAATTTGACTCCGGTTTTTCTTAGCTCTCTTAGTACAAACAAAGAAAAAAAAACAAAGAAACATAGACAAGAACAAAAGCTATCTAGGTGTAAAAAAGCTTAATAGGTAAAAATAAATAAAAATATATATACATAAATATCTGGTGTATAGACAAAGAAATGTTTCTGTTTTGGT